TGACGTCATGGCTTTGCTACTCTATTACAGAGGATTCTATGGAGCTTTGAAAGCATTATATGGCCCCACCCATCAGATTCAGAGTCCACGATGCACCTTCGATGGCCAGGAGCTCCTCACAGACAAGACATCCATGCTCAGCCACTAGTCCTAGCACTCTTCAGTACAACTGCACAGTTCAAGACCCAGCAATCCTCCGCATCCCTCAGCTACCAATCAGAGAGGAGCTTGAAGAACCACCCACCATCGAGGCATGGGGGTCCTACAATACACCGCAAGATCCATGAACTCCTCTACCACAAGAACTTCTAGATGCCGTCATCATTATTCTGTACAAGAAAAAGGGAGAAAAATCTGACTGCTCCAACTATCAGGGGATCACCCTTTGGTCCTTGACTGGTAAAGTCCTTGCGAGAATACTGCTCAACAGGCTTGTAACATCCATCGCCAAAAAAGATCTCCCAGAGAGTCAACGTGGCTTCAGAGCCAACAGAAGCACAACGGACATGGTGTTCTTTTTCCGTTAACTCCAGGAGAAGTGCCATCGCAGGTATGTTGGAAATTTATGAACAGCTCTTACCAACAAGACTGTACGCCATCCACAAGACCCAAGCAAGTCCTACTAATGATCCTACCTGCAGGCTATGCGGTACAGCACCAGAGAGCATGGCTCATGTACTCTTTGCTTGTCCGCCGTTGGCCCAAACAAAGTACCTGGCAAGGCATGACGCAGTTCTGAAGGTCCTTTTCTTTGACATCATAGAAGACCTGGGACTAAGCGTCGCCACCGTGGTATTCACCAACTAAGCCACAGCTGGTATATGAGGGAGCGCACGCACAGGTATACTGGGACGTCCCAGTCTATGGAGAGTACCAAGATCTTAGGGCCAACAGAATTGATCCGAGGATAGTAAACCACCAGAAGAAGGTTATAGCGATGGAGATGAGCTGCCCCTGGGTGAGCAATCGTCAAAAGGAAACATCAGAAAAGACGATGAAATACGCCCCACTCAGATGGGAGCTCAAGCAGAAGTACCCTGGGTACGAGATTTCACAGTATAACATCATTGTGGACGTACTCGGGGGCTGGTCGACAGAGTGGAGGTAGCGGTGAAGGAGCTAGTTGGGAGGCGTCACAGAGACGTCCTCAAGAAGATGCAGAGGGCATGCCTATCCGTCACACTGAACATTGCACGTACTTTTAAGGTTGCGACACAATAGACATTATCTTACTCGTGCTTTGGTTTGTCTCCTGCTCTAGAACTTTGAACATTTAGCATACTTTAGCGTAAATTTGTTGAGTTTATTATATAGATACATATACATATTTTAACCTTACTTTTTCATTGTACACTACCTTTTAATTCTAGTTTCACTAGCCGGAGCACAGGCCACGCCTTGGCGCCCTATGTTCCTTCCAACTGTATAGCATACAGATAGTTTTTACTGCTGCATAATATTTATATAGCGCCGTAATAAGTCATCCTTGTCCCACACAAACATAACGTATCCCCTTCTCTCAAGCAAGACTTTGCTGTGGTCTAACTCCCAAGGGTTACCTTCTATTTCGTCACATTTTTCGATGATTAAATGCCGGCCCTCTTTTATCCAGATACTCCTCCATTGTAATAATCCACCAACATTTCCATGAGTTCTACTCCATTTTTAATGGTGCGTCGGTAACCTGCTAATTCAAGCCAAGTCACAGCAACGAACCTACCAGTGACCACTAATTGGTCAGCCTCAAACTCTTGCTCTATGAAAACAATACCGTACAAAACCACATTACCCTCCTTTCCTATGCGGTCATAGGAAAAATTCCCACGGGATACTTAGAGGGTAACGGATGTTAGCTGATCCCCCTTTCTACTTCGTTCCTTTAAGCTGATGGTATAGGACAATCAATAGCCCTTTTTACAGTTCCTGGCGCCATATTGGATTAGTAAACGCGCAAACACGATAGCGAGGCTGCTGGTGACCTGATTCAGGTGTCGCATAGAAGTTTGGTGGTGTTTTCAAGCATTTAGTTGGTTTGTCAAGTCTTTGGTGAAATGAATGAAAGCTTAAGTGTCGGGGAAACATCCTCCGCCCCTCTAAAAAGAAGAGGAAAGTGTTGTGCAGCTTTTGACTGCAATAATAGTGCCTATAATGTAAACGGTACTAGTTCAAGTTATCATTTCTTCGAGTCTTCCAAGGACACTCAGCAAAGGAATCGGTGGTGCTCACTTATCAAGCGGCGACGGGATGACTTTGTTGTTTCCCCTGCCACTGTCCTCTGTCATGAGCATTCTTGGGCAGAAGACGTCTCAAAAGAACTTTTTGGTCGCTGGAATTTGAAGACAGGTTTGTGATATTGTCGAGCTTTTGTTGTGCTTTTATTATGTTTACATGGCAACAGTGCTATGTGCGTTCATGATTTGAGCTATCAAAAACTTAAAATTCAAAGATATTTTGGTCTTTAGAAACAAGGATTTGTTTAATTTTTCCCAAATCAAGGATTTTGGTTGTTTACTTCGACGATTGTTGTTTTATTGTAAACTTTATGATTCAAAGTGTTTTATGTCTTGTAATTTTTGTCGCTGAATGATAAAAGTCAAAATCACAAATGCAAAATATTAAAAATATTTAATGTATGCTTATTAATATTGCTGGACTTTACAAAAGCAATCAATTTAATTGCAGATTAACTCATAATAAATAAATTTGAAATGATTACTGTCACATTTACTAAGTTTTATTTATTTATTTACAAGGCGCAGAGCCATGTCTATATAGCTGGACAAAGCAAGCAAATCAAAGAAAAGCTCAGTGAAGAAGAAAAGGAATATAGGAGTTATTGGAACGTCAATTTTCCATCAACAAAATTAAAGATGACAATGCTGCTGTTTTATTTTACACTGGATTCCCAAGTTATGAGGCATAAATGAGCTTCTACAAATACA